TTTCTCATCCACCCATCCACCCACACACACACACACACACACACACACACACACACACACCAAACACTGACACCCAACCTTCAGAGCGCAGCCTCCAACTGTCAGCTTTTCTCTCCGTCAAGGTCCCGGGAGCGTCCCCGTATGACATGTCAGGGGCGGCCAGCAGAAAGCTTTGCTCCGCTATCCAAACAGCGCGCTCCCGCCTGGCACATCCGGCCGCAGGGGAGGCCAGCCCCGTCAAAAGTCGGCTCAAGCTTCAGGCGGAGTAACTCGAGCTCTTTAGTTTAAATTGCAGGTTGCAGAGTGGGAACGCTGGGCGGGCTGCATTTTTACTGGCTTTTTCGCTGGAGTTTTTTGTCTTTTTAAAGGGTTTTTTTGTTTGATTTTTTTCTTTGCATTTTGTTTCGTTTTGTTTTTTAAATTCTTAAAAGGTAGAAGAGGGGGTAGAAGAGAGAGAGAGAGAGAGAGAGAGAGTGAAGAGACAGAAATAGAGAGAGAGAGAGAGAGAGAGAGAGAGAGAGAGAGAGAGAGAGAGAGAGAGAGAGAGAGACGGGGACACAGAGAGGGGCAGAGAGGGGGAGAGGCAGGGAGAGACAGAGGAACGAGAGAGAGAAAGAGAGAGAGAGAGAGAGGGGGGAGGGAGGGAGTGAGAGAGACAGACAGACAGACAAGAGAGCGAGAGAGATGTGGAGGTACGAGAGAGAAGCAAGAGAGAGAAAGAGAGAGAGCAAAATCAGAGTCACAGAAACAGAGCCAGAGAGAGGAGAACAAAAGTGACCCGTAGTATTTCAAGAGATGCGAAACATTTTTGTGAGCTGACACCTGATAAAACAGACAGGACCTGCAGAGGTATAGATCTAGATCTAATTGAGATCTGAGTCACGTACTCGACACGTGAATTGCTGTCTGTTGTAAGTCGAGTAGAGGTTTCTGTGTCTATCTTATCTAAGTTGTGTTTTTTACACGCTCTCAAAACTCTCTCAATGAGCGCTCGGTCGAGATAAAACACAGCTCTGTGAAAGTCACACGTAGTTGGCGGGTAAGGGTATTTATATTAGTATGTGTTACGACGCGATGAACTCCGAAGCTAGTCAAATTTTGGGGCATATACAGTTATTCATCATCATTGCCTTTCTACTTTCTCACCCTGAATCAGGGTATAGGCCACGAACAAACACCTTCCATCTTTCTCTATCCTGGGATAGCCTCTTGATGTTATTCCATGTCTTCCCACTTTTCTGTGCGATGAAATCCGGAGTTAGTCAATTTTGGGGCATATACAGTTATTCATCATCATTGCCTTTCTCACCCTGCACCAGGGTATAGGCCACGGACAAACACCTTCCACCTTTCCCTATCCTGGGCTAGTCGCTTTATGTCACTCCACGTCTTCCCACGCTTCTGCACATCCATTGGTATCATCTGAAAGCCTGTCCACTTTTGCCTTGCTTTTGATGGGAACAAAATATCCATGTATCATAGATTACAAGTCAAGATATTGGCCATTGAAGGAGGGGGGGGGGG